GGTCTCGTTCTGGCAGACTTGATATTTTCGAAGTATAGCAGAGTGCTACACACTCACCACAATGGATACTGGCAGCGCTGATTGGCGTTACTACGTTAAAGTGTACATATATACATAAATTTGACTGAGAAATGACCACCACAGTAGCTCAGAGCGGCAAACAATCTTTAATGAAAGTATTGGGCGGGGGGGGGTTACGTCCCAAAATTACATCATTATGAGAGACGCCGTAGGAGAGGGCTCCGGAAATTTCGACCAGCAGGGGTTCTTAAAGTGCATCCAAATCTAAGCACAAGGGCCTGAAGCATTTTTCGTCTCCATCGAAATGTGACCGCCGTGGCCGGGATAAAACCCACGCCAGTAATTTTCCGTACTGCGCTAGAGAATTCCCATTCAGAGACATGAAAAATCCCTATTTCGGGATTTCGCCTGCATACGTCGAAGAAATTCCCAGCTTATTTCCCTGCACAACAGTACTGATTGCCACCCCCATCCACGCAGACACATACAATAATAACAAGTGCCTGACGAACTGGTGACTTTTGAGATCATGACTAGCCCCTCCACTGCCGCACAACGAAAGCTTGACTTTATCAATTAATTACTGTTAGTACACTGCACATTGTGGACTTCAAGTCTAACAGCAATAGAGAGAGAGAGAGAGAGAGAGAGATAGAGAGAGAGAGAGAGGAGATAAAGATGCAAGCAAAGGCAGGGACGTTAACCAGACACACATCCGGTTTGCTACCCTGCACTGGGGAAGAGATGAAGAGGAGAAAAGAGGTTGCAAAGTGATAAGAAGGTACATACATTCACGAGCACACTTGGGGGAGCACATACAGTCTACAGGCGGTCGTTCAGGTTTGTTGTCTTCAAGTAAAGTAGGAGTGTTTAGTCCCTTTCTGCGCAATTGAGGAAGACACCCAAGGTCCCAGAATCTTCTGCACACAGAATGTTCTAGAGTCAAGTTCATTCAAAACCATCCGGAGCTGGCATCGCTTCATGTCGTAGCAAGCGCAGCTGCACAGGACGTGTTCAATGGTCTCTTCAGCTCCGCAGGAGTCGCATGTAGAGGTGTCTGCCATACCAATGCAAAGGGAGTACGCCTTTGTGAATGCAACACCCAACCAAAGACGGCATAACAGTGTCGCGTCGGAGCAGGAAACTTGTGATGGTAGCTGTATCTTGAGCGAAGGATCCAGTTCATATAAGTGGCACCTTTGAAAGCTTGTAGACGACCAGAACGTGCGTGTAAGATCTCGAGCCAGCAAGTAAAGTCTTGCTGCATCGGTCCTTGATAGAGGAATCGGGACCACATGGGTTCCTTCATGGGCTGAGAGGGCTGCATCCTCGGCTAATTGATTTCCAGTAATACCGATATGTCCAGGCAGCCATTGATATATAATATCATGCCCTCGTGCTTGAGCTTCATGGTGGCAATGTCTCATTTCACGTACCAACAGTTCATGATTCCTCTTACGCATGGCAAACTGCAAACTTTGAAGTGCTGCCTTCGAATCACAGAATATGACCCATTTAGTGAACTAGAAATCACTCTACCTAAATATCAAAAACAAATATCAAGGGCTATGCTTGCGTGGTGCGTGTACGAGAACCGATTAGAGCAGTTGAAGGCACACTGTGACCACTAATTATCGGTCGTCACGGGAATATTTAACTATTCCTAAAATTTCCTGCAATATCACGAAGATTCTCTTATTTCCTTTCGCTCAAAATGACAGGCGAAAATCCCCCGAAAAAAGGAAAAATTCCCTACCCGGAACATCACTGCCACGACCTTCAGATGAGCAGCCAAGCACCTTGTGAATGCTCCTTTAACGTCCCAAAACCACCGTATGATTGAGAGACGCCGTAGTAGAGGGCTCCCAAAATTAGAACCACATGGGGTTCTCTAACGTGCACCCAAATCTGAGCACACGGGCGTATAACATTTTCGCCTACATCGAAAATGCAGCCGGCGCAGCCGAGATTCAATCTCACGACCTGCGGGTCAGCAGTCGAGTGCCTGAGCCACTAGACCGCCGCGGCGGGTTCAGCCAAGCACCCTAGCCACTGATTCACCGAGGCGGGTAGCAAATTAATTTTTTGTCCACTTTTCTTGCTTTGAATGTACATTATGTTTGTTTCTAATAACATCACCCATAATTTTATCGGCATAATTTTATGTTAGTTCTTATTATTAGTGGCTCAAAGCAGAGTAATTTACTTTCTTATTAACAAACAGAGTACTAAACCTCAGCGCTATGTTCCACTGTCCCTTTTATTAAACGATAAACGTAGCACGCACACACGTATGCGTGCTCCGCGCTCAAGTGTATTCCTGTAAATTTCCTCTTTTTTATCATATAGTCTCTGCGTAGCTGCAGCGCATGTTATGCTGTATTGTCACGTTCGCGTTTATAAACAGCCATGCATCACGTAAAGGCAGACAAATCTTACTTCGTGGGAAATCGCAGAGTAGCCTTTAGCGGAAGGTGATGGTAGAATTTTCTGCACGCTGCCGAAATTGGAAGCAAGAAAGCAATGCAAGGAAAACTAACCAGCCCTCTGCACCCAGTTTTCGAAAACACAGCCATCTGATGGGCCGGCGTTCATCATGAAGGGCTAATATTATCTGAATATAATTTATCTCACATACTGCAGCACCATGTCGCAAAACGCTTTCTTCATCGTAATGTTTGAAGCAAACTTCTAAGCACCATGTGTCAATGCGCGTTGTAAGGAGAGCATGGGCTGAACTATCTCTTGATGCTGTGCTTAGTCACGTCAGATAATTGGCACATGTCTTTTGATAGGAGTGGTGATTTGACGGGGCGAAATGAGAGCACACGCTACTGGAATCTGCTCCTTGCAATAGATGAACTATGTGCTCGACAAGCCGTGAGGTGCGGCAGTTGGTTGTGGAAAATTCAGCACGGTTTCAGATTGGGCTGGTTGGTGATAAGAAGCCAGGCTTGATTGATTGATGTGTGGGGTTTAAGGTCCAAAAACCACCATATCATTATGAAAAACGCCGTAGTGGAGGGCTCCGGAAATTTCGACCACCTGGGGTTCTTTAACGTGCACCCTAATCTGAGCACACGGGCCTACAACATTTCCGCCTCCATCGAAAATGCAGCCGCCGCAGCCGGGATTCGAACCCGCGACCTGCGGGTCAGCAGCCGAGTACCTTAGCCACTGGACCACCACGGCGGGGCAGCCTTTTCAGGCTTCTCTTGAGCGTTGCAAAAAATTAGAAGTCGTCCGTGGCTCAAAGCTAGTTGATGCAACCCGTATAATTCCTGATATAAGCTCGGCAGATCTGTTTGTGTTCCCAGAGCTCAAGCAAAGCCTGAAAGGTAATAATTTCGACGGAATTCCCGCCATTCAATGGGCAGTCACAGTGATAATGCTAGTAATTGTTATGGTTCTAAGTCCCAAAACCACGATATGATTATGAGATACATTATAGTGGAAGGCTCTGGAAATTTGGTCCACCTGAGGTTTTTTAACGTGCTTGAACCTAAATATCAGTACACGGCGCTCAAGAGTTTTTGCCTCCATCGAAAATGCGGCTGTCATTTGATCCCTGGACCTTCGACTCAGCAGCCGATCACCGCAACCACCAGACCACCGTGGCGGGTGTGCTGTCACAAAGTGCGTACGACAGGTCAGGGCAGCTGGTTTTCATGAAGCTTTTGTAGTGTCAGAATATCGTACAGTCGATGAGTCTACTCCTAAGAAAACTGTTTTGAACAATCTTAATAACCTGTACTGTTGCAATCAAAAACCTCTTTTTTAAACTGGACTTGGTCTCATTACTTTACGGACAAATCGACGAATCATTTATTAGTGATGTAAGGAACTTCTATTTGCATACCCTTTTATAACCTGTTTTCATGCGCCTTCTGCGCATGCACATCAGATGAAATGGTCACTTCCCACGTCTTGTGCTCAAGCCAAGGGGACTACGACGCTTTCGGCTGCATGCACTGGGATATGTTGACACACTCATGGACTTCGCGCTGGCCAGCCAGATCTACGACTTCGTCCGTTCACTTGCAGCCGACTCTGAATGCTGAGCAATTTTTTGTAGTGGGCACGAGAACAGCAACAGCATTGCATAGCTCATTTGCCTGTATATCATGCCTCTCGCGGGTGTGTATGCACAATGTTGTTCCTTACACGCTAAAGAAACAAAATCAATATATGTATTCCTTGTTCACAACTGTTTTGTGTCATTGCCTGCGTTTGTATGTTATATATATATATATATATATATATATATATATATATATATATATATATATATATATATATATATATATATATATATATAGTTCCCCATAATTCCTTTCCATTTTCATCCTCTTGTTATAATTCGTATATCGTCTCTTTCCCTTCCTTATTACTACTTTGTTGCCTGTGAAATGAAGATCCAGTAGTTTTTCGAGTGGATCTCATCTAAATTTGTCAATGACAATGTCTACGCATGTTCCCCGGGTGGTTGTTGGTTGTTGCCAGCAATATGAAAGGAAACGTAGAGCCTATCGAGACATCATATGTACTGCATAATTCAGTCACTGTTCGTAATGTCTACTTTGAAGTCGCGGACTAGAATGAAGGTTTTGTGTTCACACTAAACGAAAATAACCTGAAATAACCTCAAGAACTGGGTAAATCATTTGTCCTCTAGCGCACTACCTTTCCTGGGTTTTTTTTTACCACCTACTCTCGAGGTAAAAATTTACTTTCGTGCTGAGTTTTTGAACGTAGGGAGAGTAGTATTTACACCAGTGAGGTTTTGAGCGAGTATAGAGACAGTAATGGCGTATTCGGTTGGCCGCTCTGGTCCTCTGGCTCAGAGTCGCCAGATGCAGAGGCCGCTCGCAATCCGAGCGCGAGAGGCAGCGTACTAACCGAATACATCGGCGATGTCGTAGCAGCACGCCTGTAGCGCCACCGTGCAGCGAGCGCGGGAAGCCGCCGGATAAACATTTCTGCGCTGCATCGACAAATGGCGCCGGTCAGTTGAGTGGCGATCTCCGACATGTCTGGACGCAGTGACAGCCGTCTGAGCCCAGCACAGTCCCTCATGCTGACAATGTATGGCGGTAAGTTAAGTAAAAACAACTTGCGAATGAACTTATCTTTTGCGAGTGACTCGAGCTGTAATGCAGCCCCTTCGCGCGTTGTTCATGAAGTTGTGGAGTTAACACCTGTACAGGCGCCGACGTATTTAGCCACGTGCATCTTTTCTTAACGTCAAATCGAGACAAAAACGCGTGCGCTGGTTTTTAACACTCCTTTAAATTGCTGTTTTAAGCTACGGCGGTTCATTCATTCCACATTTTGAATCCCGACAATTTAGACTCAGCCGCGTAGGTGAGAGCCAACATTGCCTTTAGAGAATAGATTCGTCGCGACATGACATGATTATATCGAGAAATAAGCGCATACCAGTCATGAGTACTGTAGACAGACATTACTGATGCTGCATTGTTTATATCGCTCAAGTTGGAATTCAACTTCGTCATTTACGCGGTTGATCAACCTGCCATTTCAATTGCCTGCATACGCACAGCTGAATGCGTCCTGTGCAGCAATATACGCTTTTGCATATAACCGCTTGTAGCAGCTATAAAAGTCGTATTAATGAAATTTATTGTTTTTCGTAGGTAACGAGCCAAGCCCACTATCGCCTGTGGACGCAGGCAATGCAGATATAGCTTGGGCACTCCTTGCACGAGTAAGCATAGCCCTCGCTGCTACGTTTTTTTTTTTTTGCGGTTGTCATTGTGGTAGACTGTCTTCAATCATGCAGGCCTTGACTTCAGCGTTTACTGCCGCCTTGCTCGTGTACTTATTTTAATGCTGCAGTGCCATCAAAAATATCCTTGTGTGGCCATTCAAACTACTGGTTTTTCTTATTACACAAAATCTGAAAATTTGCAGAAATGTCCGTGGTAGTCACACCCTCTATTTCTTTGGCCTTTACTGATTTCTTGTATGTACACCTTTCTTTTGCTTACAATAACGCTGCAATGACCTCAAAAAAAAAAAAAAAACTTGCAGGGCCATTCAAACTTTAGTTTTTCTTGCTAGTATACAAAATCTGAATGTCACTTGTGCTATAACCAAGCATTTATTTTTCTTTTTCAATGTAAGCAGGACCATGGGGAGAAGGAGAAACTAGGCTTTTATTAACACTCTATGCCCAATATTCAAGCCAGGTTGGCCCGATGAAAAAATTTCGGAGCAAGCGGGTCTTGTATGAACACATTTCGAAAGTGTGTGAGTCGCGTTTCAAGACCATAGCGAAAAGAAGAAAAAAAAAGTGAAGACACAAACAACAAGACATCCGGCCATACTCGCTGCCAAGTGTCCTATGAAGAAGAGTTTGCCCAAATAAGGGCTGCAGACGATAGTATTGAGCCTGAAGCTCTCCGCGGTGTGCATTCTGTGACCTACAAGAGTGTACCCAAGCCAGTTGATGAAGCCAGCACATCTGCCAGTGCAACTGCATCCTCTGAAAGTACCGACCACGATAGCTCTGAACTTCTTGACTCCGCTTGCGAGACAGCAGAGGAAGCAGGCAATGAACGAAGAAAAAGAATGAAAAACAATGAAACTGGTCGTCCCAGTGGTCGTAGCCGAATGATGCATATGCAGTATTTTTTTGAAATAATGGAAAAGATCAACAAAGAACGAGAAGCGAAAAGGGAGAAAAAGAAAAGAAGAGGGGAACGGCATCTTGAACTGCATTGTCATCGACATCTCGTCGTATCTGTTTATACATGTAGACCTAACTTTATTCGCCGGGCAGCGCATCGGAATGTAGGTCCCGTCGATGCATTCTATAACACCTGGGAATCCTGCTAGCTGAAAAGAGAGTAAGCAATTCCTAAGTCAGAATTAACTGTATACGCAAAGGCTAGACAAATGCGCAAGTACGCTCCAGTTTGCAGCATTCAGTCTAATAAGTGGAAATTATTAGGCGTGATCAGCCAAGCCATGATTCCATTTTGTGCATACATGATTTTCCAAAAATAAGCATGCAGTACCTTCTATTATATTGATCTCAGTGACATAAACAAAATGTCGAAGTTCAAAAGGACTGCTTCTTCATGCTTGTTTTATTATTCCTCGACAATATGCATGACTGTGCCTAAAAATATAGTAAGGCAATATACAAACTCACTTTCTCGAAATCCCTGGCAAATGCATCTTTGTATAGTCCAAAGTGTATCACATCTGGAGCAATCTTGCACAGAAAGCCAAGAACTCTATCAGTCACAGCGAACTGAGTGGACTCGGCCATGTCAAAGAGGACCGCAACCTCTCTCATTGAGGCCATGTTGACAGCATACCTATAAATATTGTACAGGTTATGAATTTATTTGCGTCGTAACAAGAAGATGCAACAAAATACATGCAACTGCATAATGTTGCGTGTAAACCAAGACTTGAATCCGATAATGTGACAGCAGAAATGACACTAATTAAAGCTTCATGCGGAAGTCACTACATATTGCACGCGTAATGTTTGTGAGTGCTCTGCATGAGCCTCAAATTGGCCATTTATTAGTAGCATTTGTCGCTTGGTAATATGACGAGTATTCATTTGTGCAATATTGTGCGCCAAGTTGAAATGAAACAGCACGTGTTTGCGTAACCCCTTAAAGTGAACCAACATTACAAAAACCACAACGTTAATAAGGTCGTGCACACGTCGAAAGCGTAGTTGGCCTCAGGCTGGAAATGTCTGTTATTCTCCTTGCTAATCAACATCCACTGGAAAGCTATATTGCGCTATGGGATTCCATGTTTTCCGAAACATAAAAAGTGGAGGGAAACGACGTGCTTACGGTCATTTTTGTTGAGGCTGTACACGAAGTAAAACCTCAAGGTTGTGAACACCTTTTCTTAGCATTTCTGGAAGCACAACGAAAAACGCTCTTTCTGTAATGCACTTTTTCAAAACGATGGTGGAAGCACTAAGCAGCATGACTTCCCAAGAGCAGAGCTGACTTTGTTGATGAAGCAAGAACAGTCCCACCCTTGCAAACCACCCTCAGAGATGGTGGTAAAACTATGTCATGTACCATCTTTTACTCCTACACGAGGTAGTAATTTTAAACGCAAGAGCTTTTTGAGAGGTCATGAGCCCCAAAAACCCCAAACTCGGATAGTTTTTGCTTACAGTGTAGTTTGTTTCTTAATCGTAACATGCACACTTCTGTTTCGCCCTTGAGGAGGAAATACCGCAACCTTCTTGAGTTGTCTTGGAATCAAGCTACTGTGTTTATAGAGAGTGGGTAACGATTCAGAGTACTATGTACTCTACTATGGGAGAGCATAAAGCCGCCCCGGTATGAACTGGGAAAGGCAATACTGTGTTTAGAAAAAGTGGGTAACGATTTAGAGTACCGGGTACTCTACGATGGGAGAGCTTAAAGCCGTCCCGTAGGCCTGTACAATCAAGGCCCTGTACTACGAAACCGATTCAACAGTGTTTTTCGTTGATGACAAGCCATCACGCATAACACTTTCCACATGCCACTGTGCTCATCCTTCAGAACTGTGCTGGCCAGGTCTGTTGATTTTGAAAGCATATCACCTTTAATAATTATTCGATCCTATTTTTATGGAGATATTTCAAGGATGTTTTGAGCGATTCCTATGGCTTTTATTTGAGGCTTTTTAATGGTAACTGTAATCGAGGCATACACACATGTGTTTTGGTTTTAGTAGTGGTTTTTTATGTACCAGGACAGCACACAGTGAGATTCGATGACAAAGTTAGGTCCAAAGGGGCTTCGCCTCTAAAAAAATGCCGAGAACTGATTTTAAAGTGAGGCGAAACGCTCAGCTTATCGTCTCAAAATTCGGGACATCTAGCTTAACACCCCATTCAATTGTTTAGAAGAGAAATAACAGTGCCACTACGTTATTTTCATGGTGGTGTTGTAGTTATACGGCGTTGGACTGCTGACCCGAAGGTGTGTGTGTGTGTGGTGTGTGTGCGTGTGTGTGTGTGTGTGTGTGTGTGTGTGTGTGTGCGCGTTCGTGTGTACGTGCGTGCGTGTGTGTGTGTGTGTGCGTGTGCGTGCGTGTGTGTGTGTTTGTGTGCGTGTGTGTGTGTGCGTGTGCGTGCGTGTGGGTTTGTGCATGTGTGCGGTTGCGTGCGTGTGTGTGCGTGTGCATGCGTGCGTGTGTGTGTGTGCGTGTGTGCGTGTGTGTGTGTGTGTGCGTGTGCGTGCGTGGTGCGTGCGTGTGTGTGTTTGTGCGTGCGTGCGTGTGTGTTTGTGCGTGTGTGCGTGTGTACGGTTGCGTGCGTGTGTGTGCGTGCGTGTGTGCGTGCGTGTGCGTGCGTGCGTGTGTGTTTGCGTGCGTGCGTGTCTGTGAGTGCGTGAGTGCGTGCGTGCATGTGTTTGTGCGTGTGTGCGTGTGTGCGTGCGTGTGCGTGCGTGTGTGTGTGCGTGTGTGTGTGCGTGTGTGTGTTTGCGTGTGTGTGTGCGTGCGTGCGTGCGTGTGTGTGTGTGTTTGTGCGTACGTGCGTAATGTCGTTCAATTTGCCTGATGTGCAAAAAAAGTAAAAAAAAACTACCAAACCAACGCTCCGCAGAAAACGCCGTCGACTTAATTCTCAATCTACCCTTGTTCTTTGATAAAAACTGTCTTGATCGGCTTTAGAGACCTCTCTTGCAATTTGGAATAGACAGTCTTTGTGTGTTTGCGGGAAATTTTAGCGCATTCTTAGTGACAGCTCAATAACACGTTCATAATATAGAAGGCAACGCTGACGCCCGAAAATTACGCTAACAGATTGTGAGTCGTCTAGTACAGCGGCACTCGACTTGGCCCGGCGTCACCTGTTTATTGGCCTATACGTATGCAAGCCGGACAAAGATTGGCCACACACGCACGTCATGCTTCAATCCCGAAGTTGAATGAATGTAAATTCTTTTCTTCCTGTAACGTGCTCCGCTCGTGAAAAAAAAAGAATCACTTGAAAATTTTGGACTCTTTCCATGGCAATATTATTCAACGTGTATTCAAGCCGCGCTTGTAAAGGGAAATCCTGCTCAGACCTTAAGTGGCAGAAAAAAAAACCCTAGCCCAACAAAGTTTGAAAAGCTCTGGTTCTGAAATCAGTATTATGCCTAGCGTGTCGTGTCTTTTGATGCAAAGTATTCGCCCGGGAAGTATCAGCTATAAATTGAAACACGCACACAGATTGCTGGATGTCGACTTGACGTTCCTAATAGGGGCCAGTGCGACTTTCTGCAAGGCACGATATGACCGAGAAGGGCGTAAACAGTTTCCCTAGCAATTTCTCTTTGCAGAAAAAAAGCCGCACCAGAAATGGTTGCCTTCTTTCCTTCTTGAATTACCCGCGCCATCTCCTAACCTCTTGCATGGCCTGAGTGTCAGCCAAGTTCTTGCAACGTGTGTAAATATGTTTCATCCCGGGACGGGTATTTCGCTGTACGTCTATAGGCCACAAAGGGCTACAAGTATGTCGAAGGAAAATGAACGGGTAATGGGGTTGGCAGTGATTAAAGAAGGATGAAGTATTTGCCTCGGAGGATGCGACCTACAACAACACGTCCTGGAGACAGAAACGACAAAGCACTGAATGCTGCGGAAGAGCAGAGCTGACACTGTTGATGAAGCAAGAACAGTCCCACCCTTGCAAACCACCCTCAGATGTGGTGGTAAAACTATGTCATGTACCATCTATTA